TAAAATAATTCGACTTTGTTCAATTAGATGTTTATAATGTTTATTTTCAATAATTCAAACGCTCACATTCACGCTTCCACGCACTCACAATAGAAAGTCCGCGCACACAATCGCTCGCGCTTCGCGGATTACGCAATCTCGCCTTTCGCCGGGAATCCCAGCGATCGGGGATGCGCGTTAAACGCAATACGGTTTGCGTCACTAAATGCGCCGCGGAAACGACTCGGCCCTGCCACGACCGACACAGCGCTATAACGCACGAATGATAACCGGAATCGCGTATAGGGTTTCAAGAAAACGTCGTATAAACGCGCAACAAACTCGCGCTAGATCCGTTTCGGAATCGTATAATCCGTACTCGCGACGTCCGATCGAGATAATTTCCTCGTCGGTGTTTACAACGCTTGCTGAATAACGGATACTCGGAATTACGCAATACTTTGCGGGACTTTTCTTACGCGGAGTTTACTCATAAAGAGACCCGGAACAAAAGACCTCGTTGCCATCCGGGCAACGATATTTATACCGGCGGTCGTTTTTCCCCTTCTCTGCGTTTGTTGCGCACATAACTTTTAACGCTCGCTTCTTGCTTCTTGGATTGGCCGGTTCGCCGAACGAATCCGGCGCTTTACCCAATGTTTGGGCTCGTCTCACTGAATAACGTTCCCAAAACTATCAGAGTTCGACCATTTTCAATGTCGAACCACTAAAATTATAATTAATTCCTTTTATCCGTCTTGAAAATACTTAATATCGCTTTACCTGGATGTTTTTAACTGATCGTGTGGATAAATATTCGAAACTAAACTCGTTTTTTGCAATAATCTAACTCTTCAATTTTTTGTCCATAGGTGTGATGACAACTTTGGCTCGGAGCCTCTCGCCGCTTGGTATATTTCTTAAATTAACTAAAATAATAATATTTTATGGATTGAATTTCTAAAATAACGCATTGTTTCTTTGTTACAGGTAATCACGTGACCGATCGCTTTATCCGGTGGTCGGATGATACGCCTTCTCTTATAAAACTTTCAAACAACTATATATACTGGTTTTTACATATAAATAAAAGAAAATTCATGGATCATCAAATCGTAAATTAACGTCTTATTTTTCCGTTCCAGATGATCATGTGACTTTGGGATTTGGACTTATTTTCTTAACACTCTCTTTTGATCTCGGAATTATAAAATAACTATGTATGCTCAAACTATCACTAAAATAAACGCTAACGCATGGATTACATTTATTTTTTTTTTTCTTGTCGGCCGCCCGAATTGTCATCACCTTTCAGATTACTTCTCTTTCTTTTGATTATCCAGGTAAAGGTTTCTAAATTATAAAAACGTCATTCCTTGCTTTACAAGTTATTTTATTTTTACCATATCATACTCTCATTCACGCTTTACAAATTGTGGAATATATAAGAAAACAACAATTATCTTAAACATTTCGCCTATACTATATTGCCTTCGTAATTTACTTTTGTTACCCATACGGGTAAGCATAAAACCAAAAAAAAAATATATAGATATAAAATCAATGATCATTAATATTAATAAGATAAAATAAAACTAAAAATAAAAATAAAAAATAAAATAAAAATAAATCCATAGAAAATACTTAATATTATCGGATAATGCTAACTCAAAATAAAATAAAAATACCATACAAATACACACACTGAAATAACATTATATATGTCTATTATATAACTTCTGGAATTCTTCGGGTCGCGTGACTTTACTCCTCCGTCTCCATTGGTAATGGCGGGGTCACCGGCTCAAACCTCGGGCTGTCCGGCTCGGCCTCCTCCTCCGCCGCGACCTCCTCTTCAGCTGCGACATCTGGGATACCCTCAACCTCGGGCCGTGCACTTTCCCGTGCCTCCATCCACTTCTTCACAATCTGCAACGCACGTTCCGCAACGTCCGGAGAAACCCGACCGCGACTGCCGACATCAGCCGAAACCGGCTCAGATTCTGATGTCGGTTTCAAGGTTACTCGACATTCTAGAGATAAAAGAATCTTTTCTTGTATGAAATCCAGGATCCATTGCGCGGCAAATTACGTAATAAAATGGAATGTTTTGATTGGTCAATTCGGATAACGCGACGCGTGACGCGCTCAATGGGAACGCACCTTTACGAGCGCTGTGAGCGTAAACAGAGAGGATCCTGAGAGCGGTCATGCCCGCGATTTAAAGGCCTTCACACATAAAATCCTGTAAGGCCGTAAGATGTAAGCGTAAGAAAATCGACCAATCCCAATTGAGTATTAGGTTGTCCGTAACCCCTCCACTCAATTGGGATTGGTCGATTTTTTTATGCTTACGTCTTACGGTTTTACGGAATTTTTGTGAAAGCCTTAACTGTAACCGGAACGCGTTGGACGGAAAGCGTGCTTCTCATTGGTCTCTCTAGTTAGTAGTTCAACGTCCACTTTCCAGAGGCGCTGAAACCAGCTCAATCGCCCTCACAACTAAAGATGCCTTTTCATAAGCACGCAGCAGCCTTTGAGTATATAATACATGGAGGTGGAATGCCTTTGTTTTCTATAGGCCGCAAGTGTGTTCAAGAGTGGCAAGGAGTACGAGAGAGAAAAATATACGAGTGATACCACGTGCAGAGAGGATCCTGAAAGCGGCCATGCCCGCAATTTAGCTGGGACCGGCGATGAGCTAGTTTCAGCGTCTCTGGAAAGTGGACATTGAACTACCAACTATAGAGACCAATGAGAAGCACGCGTTGGACGGAAAACGTGCTTCTCATTGGTCTATCTAGTTAGTAGTTCAATGTCCACTTTCCAGAGGCGCTGAAACCAGCACATCGCTAGAGATCCTCTAATAAGAGTCTGGCATTCCCATTCATAAAGTCAATCCGTAGTAAACAGGAAAAACATGGCGGAACATGGCTGACCAATCATGGTGTGTGTATACGTTCAGTGCGCGTATAAACTCTCGCCTTATTAGGAAAAATATGGCGGACCAATCAAAACACTCCAAAATAATATGCCGCTTGGCCAGACTCTTATTAGAGGGTCTCTATACATCGCCGGTCCCAGCTAAATCGCAGGCATAACCGCTCTTAGGATCCTCTCTGCGTCTCTGCCACGTGATACTTCGTCCTCTATGTTTGTCGAATGTCGACATTGTCGACGCATACGCAGAGAGGACGAATATTACTCGTCTACCTTTCTCTCTCGCACACATTTTGGACACAGTTTTCAAGCCAACATTCCTCCTCCATGTCTATATACTCAAAGGCAGCAGCAGCAAAATGTCACGTGATTCAAATTTTTCAGAATCGTTTCCACCGCATTTGTTGCGCATGAAAAGGAATTTTGCAGCAATTCATATTGAGGTTTAATCTTAATTTATAATATAATATAAATAGCGATATATTTGTTGAGTATATTTATTGTATAATTGCATTTTAACGAATCTTATTATATTGACAATTAAATAATGCTCTGGTTCATAGCGCATTATTTTATTTATTAATAATCAATAATTTTTTAAATTACAATAAGACCACTTTATAATAACCAAGTTTAAAAAGTTATAATTGCGGTTTA